CATTTTTTTTTTCAGGTTATTTAAAAAAAAAAAAAAAAAAAAATCAGGGATGTTACATTTACTGTTACTGTCTAAAGCCAAACCGTTTTTAAAGTTTTGGATAGATTATGATTTGAAAAACTTGTTTTTTGTCACACACACACACACACACACACTTTACTTCCTGATCATTACACACAACAGCAAGTGAGAGGAGATCTTTCCAAAGTGGAGACATACTTTTCTCTGTTGAACCACTCATTCTAATATTTGCCCTCTAGACCTGTTGGGGTGAGAACTGTAAAATGTTGTATTTTCCACCATATGATACTGCAGTTACTGTGACCTCTGTACCTGACACAGGGTCCAATCTCTCCAGACTGCACACAGCACTAAAATCTGACAGGGTTTCTTACCTTTCCCCACTCTAAAAGTAAAGCCAAAGTTAATATATACTAGGGACGCACCAATACCATTTTCTCCACAGTGAGTACTGACACTTTTCCCCAAGTACTAGCCGATACCAATTACTGATAACTTGTTGTTTTTTTTTAGGGTCATTTGACAGTTTTTCTAAAACAATACAGACTAATGATTTTATGACAGTGGTGGAGGGCCAGGGCCCAGGAGTTCTGCCACCGGCTCCAAGCTGTAGAGGGACTACAAATCTAAGCAATATGTTATACAGCAATGCAGAATGGCACAGGCTATAGAGGACTGCAAATCCCAGCAATACATTCTACAGCAATGCTGAATAATAGTATATGTATTGCTACATACTCTGTGCTGCTGCTCTGGGGTGTCGGCTGGTGTCTACAGTGGAGGGTCTCAGGAGGGTGAAATGTGCGGAACAGCGTAAGTGCTGTAAACAGGTGCTGCGTGGTGCCTAAAGAAGGCTATTGCAAATCCTGGCCCTAAGGCAGCTGCTTCAATTTGTATAGTAAAGCGCCAGTATCAGTATTTGGTATTGGAACATTTGCACGAGTAAGGGTGCAGCGTAGGACTTTTGGGGTACCAAATGAAGTTTCATTAAATGTTTTTTTTATTATTTACAAAAAACTTGATTCAGTATTTCAGGTACGTACTTACCCACAAAAACCACACCAGAAAGCTGAACCACTGTAATTATATTAGCCCCCCTTCTTTGTACTGCCGACACACAACATTTCATCACTCCTGATTGCATAGCTATGAAGTCAGGATAATATCCTCCTTTCACAGTTATTCATTGATTCCTATACACCAGTGGCAGAGTGGGGAGCAGAAATCTCTATCGGTTTTCGTAAGTAGAAGGTATTTAGAGAGATAATAGTCTTGCTCAGTAAATATGATTAACATACATATCACCGCAGTAAAGTAATTTTATTGGAAATACATTGTCCATATCTGTCATACAGGTATGATCGGTACAAATATCTAGTTGCCGATACCAATTACCGATACTTTAAGAAAAAGGGCCAGGTGACTCTAAATGATCCATAGTACAACTACATGTTATGTACTATGGATCATGATTTAACCTATTCATGTTAGCAAGGGAGAATTGTAAATCTATTGTTGCAGTGCATTCTATATATAGTATATAGTACATGTAGCGTGCACTGCAACAATACATTTACAATTATCCTCTGCTAACATGAATGGATTAAATGATCCATAGTACAGGGCTACATACAGATCATTTAATCCATTCATGTTATTATGTATTGTCTGCACTGTATTAGCAGTGTGTACTCTATATGCACTTGATAGGTAGTACATATAGAGTATATACTGCTAATACAGTGCAGACAATACATTTACAATTATACTCTGCTAGTACTGTAAATGTACTACATATAGAGTACACTACAGCAATAGAGTTTTTCAATTATCCCCTATTCCCCTGCTAACATGATTAGGTTAAATCATGATCCATAGTACAACTACATGTTATGTATGTAGTATAGATCATGATTTAACCTAATACTCTATATGAAGAAGTAAATGTACACTTGCAATCAGATTATAAATACAATACTGGCAAAAACTACACCCCTTGCCATCTCAGCAGCACAGGCCCTTGTGCCAGTTCAATGGAGCCTCATAGGGTGCCGAATAATTTTTTTTGTCCTCATGCGAGGACGACGGCGGCGCTGAGCGGAGGAGCGTCGCTGCTGTGGGCAGATTCCTCTGGGCAGTTGCCAGCCAACTACATTAGACGCGGCAGAGCGTCACGTCACTGCTGTGGGCGGAGTCCTCTGGGCAGTCGCCAGCCAACTACATTAGACCCCACCTGGAGCTCTGCCCACAGCAGTGACAAGACACTCCTCCAGCCTGTCCAGAGGACCCCAGCCACCACGGAAGGTATAAAAAAAAACAGCGCAAGCTTCGGTTGCTAGGCATCGGGGCATTTTGACAAGTACAAGTCAAAATGCCCTGTATTGGGCCCGATTCCGATGCTAGCATCGGTATTGGGACATCCCTACAAATATCCATACTGTCATACAGGAGTCTGGAAGGGGCTGGCTTGGGGGAGGGTGATCAGGATGTTAGCTATAATAACCTTCTCCTATTCCTCAGAGTCCTTGTACGTTAGAAATACATATGGCAGAAATATACACAGATCAGATATTACCTATAATTTAAGAACAGAATACATACATAATCTCATATCCTCCACAACGTCATTGTATGGTCAATGACAGAAGTTTTTTTTCTTTTTAACTTCCAACAGTAACTGGCATTAGGTGACAGCGTGATGGAAAGCAGCAAACAATTTTAGATTGACACCAGCCATTATGATGAAAACTTCCTAAGGCAGAGCAACGCTGCTCTTTAATCTTCATTCATATATATTTCTAAATGATGATACTTGACAGTCATCTCATCCTCTATAGACATTACCACATATAACCAATGCAAAGAAATTATCTCCAAGCAGATCCATCTACTCCATGCTCCTCCAAAGTAAAACTCTCCCCTAGTATAGGCCCCGCCTTCTATGTGGGTAGACCCCATCATCATATGACCCCCATCATCTAACTAGACACCCATCTCACCAGCCTCATATATTTCAATACACCAATATGGCATATATGAATATAGAATCCATGGAATCTGTATATAGAACATCCCCTTTACTTATATTAAGCATTACATTAAGAGTAATGTCATACACAAAATGCATGACACATGCATCCTGGACATAATATATTATGATACTGGATTTATATAGCTCCAACTAAATGGTTAGCAGGGCCCTGCCTGTGAGAGCTTACGGTATAATCTAAAATGGAGGGGTAAGTGATACAAAAGGTGGTAGCTGTGTGGGAATGAGTTGTTTGAGAAAGTAAATAGTTCAGTGCTTAGGTGGAGGCGGGATATGCTTCCCTGAAGGAATATGCACTCATATATTTTGTACATGAAAAATATTGAATCATGTTTGTAATGTTTTTGTAAATAAAAATAGATTTTTTTTTAAATGTATTTTTATGTATCATTGGGTACCAATGCTATATATTAGTTTTGTCTTTGATATGATGGATTGTGGTACCTACCATTATAATGTTAGCCTATTTCTAAAAAAAAAAAATATTTTGTGCTTAAACTGAGCTCTGAATAAAGCAGTGCCAAGGGCAATAGTGATAGGCAAAGTACAATAAACCATACCGCCATATCGCTTATGAAGATAGAAAGCTTTCTTGTTTGAGGTTGCAACTCATCTTCGAGCTTGCCTAGCATTATTGAACAAGTCTATAATGTCTGATGTCTTGTATGTCGGTATGGCCCTGTTCTCTCATTTCATATGCG